AGGAGAGCAGGAAATGGAGTTGTTTCATTCACAGATATATGTATGGTAGACATTTCATTGATAGTTGTTGAATGAGCAAATAAAGAATCCTACAAGATGTGCAGCTTCAAATCACAAAGTAGCAGAGAGGGGCGAGGGGACCTCCGTTATGGAGGGTATCTTATAAGCCACCCTTCCACCAAACCTGCGGGTGTTTCCAAGGCCCATCCACATCCCTGCATCCTCTGCCCCACGCCATCCCATCTCTCTTCAGGCTGCATGGCTGCATGGCTGTGGGCATGCTCAATGAGCCCCCTGCTGGGAGCCGTGGGCACCGCGTGGTGACCCACTGCTCTTGCCTGTTCTGACCCGGGAACGAGACAGAAAGAAGGTCAGCCCCAGCTCTGCTATGAGACCTCATCGCATATCTCAAGCTGGACGGTGACCTGGACACCCTCAGAGCGGAAACTCCATGGAAAATAAAAGTGTGTTTTGCTTTTTTGATGAATGGATTTGGTAAAATGTCTTCTTACTTTTTCCTAGACATCGCCTGGTGGTATTACCAGTATCAGAGAGGTAAAAATGTTTAAAATAACTTGACTGCTTTGGTCACATTACTTTCAAAGGAAGAACTTCTTAATCAAGTATATATTTTATAATTAGTCTTCTCACTCCCCAACTTTCTGTGTCCCTTATTAGCAAACCTCACCTATACAGAAACAGTTGGAAACATTATTTTAGAGACAAGTTGCTTCCCAGAAGAAAATGGTATGTTTTCCTCTCATGGGCAACAAGACACATGGAAAAGCTCAGAGCCAATTTGTGGCTCAAGTGTAGTAACTGCTTAGAACAAATGACCTAAATTTCTATGTTCTCCTTTTCCCTGTGGTCTTGACCTCCTAATCTAATCAACATTTTCTGAAGCAGTTTTTCTTATTACTTTATCTCTTTTTATTTTATTATATTTATTTCATATGATGAGCTTCAAGTCTTTTGTGAAACAAAGTGGAATGTGTTTAAATAAGCAAATAGTGGGAGAGAGAGGGTGGTAGACTGGGTGGTGTGAGGTAGGAGGAAGGCAAGTGAGAGGTTAGCAGCATAGCTCAGGAACCAAAAGCTCAAATGCCTACGGGGCCAGGCAGGGAGCATGAATGAATTAAGGGAGCCAGAGGAGAGTGAAGGGAGCTCTAAAGGCTTTGGCTGCCCGGAGGGAACAGCCACTGCATAGCTCTAGTAGATTGTTGCCTTGTGAAAGTTTGAGACCAAAGTTGTCAGATAATCCCATTTTCCAAGAGAGGATCCAAACTTGTACATGAATCCTTCATCTTTAAATATTGGCAATTAATTCCCCAAGAAAACGAAAACACATTTTATAGGCCAGACAAGGCCTATCTTTGGGCTGTGTTCATGCCAAGGGCCACCATTTTGTAACCTCAAAACTAGATGGGTCAGTATAAAGTCCAACTCAGAATCCCCATGATGGAGAAGCTATTCTCCAGTCCAGGGAGAAGGAGATGGTCGTGGTCATGGCCTTTTGTCATGGTCATGGTCATGGACCTAACAGAGGAGACACCTCACTAGAGAGAAGACCAAAGGCTTGGGTCTTCCTAGTATTCATATCTAAGGGTCTCACGTGTACACAGACACAGAGCTTGTTAGGAGCAGAACTACTGCAAGGCTAGTTACAAACCAATGTGCAATTTGTGCTCAAGGGAAGCAGAAACCATTGTAGGGGCATGTGGAAGCCAGATCTATAAAAGAGGCCCTGGACTGGCTGGATTCCAGGTCCAGTTCTGTCACCAACTGGCTATACGACCTAGGACTCAGGCAAAGCCAGTTAGTGGCAGAGTTTGGTAGAGATCTCCTGTGCTAGAAGCCCTTAACATGGGCTCCATGTGTTTAAGAAATACAGGAACTCACTGAAATAACAGGTAAAATGCCATGGTTAGGTGCATTTTCCTTTTCTGAGGGTCTAAAGCTTTCATCCCACACTCAGAAGAGTCTGTGACCCCAAAACATTAAGGACCACTTAATCTTGATCATCTTCTCCAACCTCTCCTTCAGCTTGAGAATTTCCTGTGTAGCATCCTCAACAGGTGGTTATTTTATCTCGCTTTAACTACTTCCCAGTAATAGATAGTCCATTTCTTTTGAAAGTACTTACAGTTAGAAAACCCCTTTATCTATTAGGACAGCCATCTTCCTACTATTCAGATGGAGAGAATAATAGTCCCCCACTTCCAACCACCTGCAACGTTGTAGCGGGACCAAAATGAAGACATTTTACAGATTAAAAGTGCTTTACAGACAGAAGTATCTAATTTATTCCTGTTATAAAGTTATCATCATAGTATTAAATCGCTGGGTTAACTTTGATCTCTGTCATCCAAACTCAATCTGACTTAGCAACTGGCCCATTATTATTTTTAATAACAAAAATAATAATAACAAGCAACATTTGGCCTTTGAGACTCTTAACAAACCTCAAAAGAAACTGTGAAGGAGGCTCCCCACCTGTTAATTCTGTTTCCTCTTTCTGCAACCAGGGAGCTGGCCCACCCTCCTTCCTTTACTGAGACCTCCTGTATAGCGCCCAGGGACTCAATCTGCACATTTTTAAAAAGGAATAGATTAAAATTGAGAATACAGAGCATCCCACATTAGTGAGAGAAAGTATTATTTCACGAAATATTTGCTTATCTGTATGTGTATACTGGATTGTGATGTCAATTGTAGTTCTTACTGTGAAACACAGTAAAAAAAAAAAAATTCGAGAACCACTGGCTTAAGCCCCTACCCCTCGCATGCAGGCTACTTCCCAGCATCCTGAGCCCCAGAGACATGAATTTCCTACCGTAACAGTTGTTACCACAGCCTAACAATTAGAGGAGGATGAAAAAGCAAAACAAAACAAAATCTCAGCCGTCGATATCCAAATATTCAGATATTACAAATTCTGTTTGATATGGAAATTGATCCTGCCGCCCAGACAGCAAAAAACTCCTTTATTGATAAAGTTCAGTTCTACCTTAATGAAGTGGGTTTAATATTTGATATTTCAATACTTAGTGCATTTATAATAAAGGAGATGGTAAGCAAGAGCTGTTTCTGAATCAGAAAGATTCTCTCAAACTTCTGCAAGGAGATTTCCCTGAGCTTGTGAGGAATTCAGTCATTGGAGGATTCATAGAAATAAGACAATACTGCAAAAAAATCTTTTAAACTTCTAGATAAGATAAACTTGGAAAGGCATACCAGACACCTTCAAAAATACATCATTTCTTCCAAAAATACATTTCCATCTTTCTTATTTACATGTTAATATAGCTTTCACCTCTTTCCACAGTGTTAAATATGTATGCATTTTTTAAAATAAAATTGCAATTAAATCTAGTGCTAGGAAATTTAAACCAACTATTTGATTTCTATTTTTAAATGAGTTAAAAAGATCTGTGAGTATTCTGAATTAGACTTATGTTGGGGGTTTTGTTTGTTTGAGAATCGGTCCTTTGATTTATATAGAAACACTGCAGTGTTTAGGTAATTGCTACTTAACTTATTAGCTACAAACATAACAATAATTAAAGGCTCTGTAAGAATTATAAGGAAATTGGCCACTTGCTGCGATGTTGTATAAACAGAATATCTTATTTATATTGAACAATCTGCCTTCCTCCCAGCAGGATAAGGTGATACATATTGCCTGCACATGAGAAAGATGACAATTGGGAATTGTTACCAAGTTCTTCTGCCTCTCGTGTGGAAACTTACCCAAACATCCAGTACCTTAGGGAAGACGTACAAAATAAACTCACTTTGATGGATTCCTTTTGTATTAAGATCAAAGTCTCAAAAGGAAAAGTGACAATTGCAGAGAGAATCTGGTGCGAAGAGACTGACACTGACTAGAGAAATGCACACAGTGTGATGGTCCTGCTCGCCCTGTTCTCTCAGACAGAGACTCAGCCTCTCCTCACCCTCCCTCGTCATGGGGTGTGTGTACATTCCCAGCAGCCTGCCCATCTCATCACTATTCTCACCAGCCCAGATTAACAGTCATTCAATATATGGATTTGGTAATGTCTGCATGACAACAATGGGCAGAGAAGGTTAGACGGCAATTGATTCCTGATTGGAGTAAATTTATAGAAAGCATTCTGGCAGGGCCCAGAGGAAAACACTCACTTACCCTTCTGTGATGGTAAAACGTTGCAAGTTCCACTTATTTGCATTTTGTGATCATTCAATAGGAGACAGGCAGATTTCTCGCTTTAATTGACTGACACTTTCTAGATAACTAGTGCAAAATTATAGTGCTTTGTAGTACACATAGGAGGAATAGTTAAACTACTACATAAGACAAGAGTTTTTAGAGCCCTTCAAATGCTTCAGAAGCTTTCACTTATATAAAGTAGTTCCCATTTAAGTCATTTTCCTATTATTTAGGGATATCTAGTAGATACTACAAAACAATACTGTAAAATACATTCATATTTTTAAATTAAAATTTAACATGCTATAATTTGAACTCTTTGCTAAATGATGCTAACCTTCCTCTAATAGTCCCAAATGGTGAGAGTTAACTCTTTTTTTAAATAGATTTCTTTCCCTTTGCTATTTGGAGGATGTTAATCATTCCGCTCACTAACCTATGTCTCTAGAATATTCAGGTAGTTTAATGGGCAGCAAATTGAATAAGCAAAGATGTTATTTTGAAAGAAAGGGAAATGTTTTCATATGGACTTAGTTTTAGCACTTCTGCCCTCATCTCCACTTGGAACAGTTTATCTCCGATGCCGAAACTCCCTCCCTAGGTGGCGTCTGACACACTGGAGTAATGGCTGGACTGATTGTGGGACAGAAAGTGACTGGGCAGGGAGGTGGGGTTCAAGACAGGAAGGTCATCTGCAGTGTGACCCCCAGCCCACAATCCTATGTCCTGGGTCATGACACTCTTCTGACAGCCCAGACTGTGGTCTGACAAGTGACCGCCAAGGTGAGCCAATCCAATGCCATCTCCTCTGGTTCCAGATAAGATTGAAGATGAGTTGGAGATGACCATGGTTTGCCATCGGCCTGAGGGGCTGGAGCAGCTTGAGGCCCAGACCAACTTCACCAAGAGGGAACTTCAAGTCCTTTATCGAGGCTTCAAAAACGTAAGAGCCCCGCGGCCTCCAAAGGCTTAGGCAGGATTTCCCACCTCGGGCTAAGCTCTCCCAAATGCCACGGGGGCCCATCAGGGAGCTTTCCCAGATGTGTAATTGGAAAAAGAAGGCCGAATCTATAAAGAGGGCATGAGAGCAAGACCACTGGGCTAGAAAGAATGACTCCAGGCAAGGATGAGGCAATCTCAGTAGACAGGAAAGGGGCCGACAGCCCAGACACTTCACAGGATGACACAACCTTGGAGAATTCACCCTGGCCCAGGTTCTAGTGTTAGCATAACACATTCACACTCTTGATCTTATTGGTGCCCCCCAAATGATGGGAGTTAGGTCTGCTAACCGAGCTCACACAGACTGCTGTGTAATCCTGAATGCCAATGGATTAATTTACCACATTATTTCATATATTAAACCTCACAGCAGCCTTGCTGAGAAAGTACTGTTAGCCTCATTTTACAGGTAAGGACATTGAGGATCGGAGACTGACTTGCCCAAAGTCACACAGCTTATAAGGGGCTGAGCCAGGGTCCACACCCAAGTCTTTCTAGTCCCAAAACCCAAGCTCTTTCCACCCCACAATGCCCATCCTCTGATAACATCTCATCATTTTGCAAAGCAGCTTCCGTCCTAAGGTGGGGTTACCTCCGGACCACTCACCTTGGAGACATGGAGGCACACAGGTGGTGGCCCAGTCCCCGCCCACCAGGGATCACGGGGAACCCTAGACCTCAGAGCTGGGCCTGGTCTACTCTCCTGGGGCAGCCGTCAGAACCTTTCACTGACTCTCGCCCTCCACGCAGGAGTGCCCCAGCGGTGTGGTCAACGAGGAAACCTTCAAGCAGATCTACGCTCAGTTTTTCCCTCATGGAGGTGAGTCCAACCTTGAGAAAGATCCTGCCCAGCTCCCTCTCTTCCTCCCAGCTTCTTCCAAGTTCGTGCTCCGTTGTTGTCTGCCTCCTCCTGAAGGTCAGGGAGAGTTCAGAGCAGGATTTCTCCCTTATTACAAGATGTGGAATTTGCTTAAGCTTTAGCAGAAAAGAGCTCTGAAAATAGACCCTCGCTAAGAGAGAAGGAGAGATAAAGCAGTATTATAAAGCCTCACAACAGCTCTAGAAAGCAGATACTGTTATCTCAGATGGGGCAGCTAAGTTTCAGAGAGGTTAAGCAATTCACTCAATATCACACAGCCAGCGAGCGGCAGACCAGGATTAGGTCCCGTAAGTATCTGTGGTAAAGCTTCGCCGTGTTAGCTGTGCCGTCGTGCCACACACTCTCCGGGCTTTCCCTCACAACAGCTGAGGCAAGCTGTCAAAAAAGAACTTTAGTAAACACCAGAATTATCAAAATAAACTCATCCAAAAAGATGCAGGGAGCATAAAACTGTGCTCATAAATCCAGGTTAGCAAGTGTCCAGGCCCACAGATCCTCTGTTGCCCTGCCTGACTCCGGCGGGAACCCACTCTGGCCCCTTGGGCCTGGGACATCAGTGGCTCTTCCTGTGGCTTCCATGTGTCACGTGCCACCACACTTCCTGCCCCCAGGAGCTAACTCCTGCGGGACCCCTCCCCTGGGTCCTGACGGAATGGACATCCAAGCATAGCGAACACTTCCTGGGCTCTGTTTCTCACAGGCCTCTTTAGCAGCAGACAGGAGCCTTCCTGTGTGTGGGACCCCGTATAGGGCCGCTACCCAAGCAGGGAGGCAGCTTCGTCGCATGCAAGACCCCGAATCGCTGTTTGTTGAGTTCTCTTGAGCCACTCTTCATTGAGTTTTGACTACGTGGCAGCCTTGATGATGGTTTCAATGATGTGACTATGTGAAAAGTTTAACATACTTTTTCAAAAACTTTTTCAAGAAATAGGTCTTGCTACATCCCATTGTACAGAGATGGGAAAGTGAAGCTCAGAGAGGTTGTGTTAGATGCCTGTAGTCACACAGCTATGTAGTGACAGGGCTGCTATCCAAGTCCAGGTCTGTCTGCTCCCCAGTGAGTGCTCATTCCACGGCACTGCCACTCAGAAGAACATCGTCTCCACACATTTCGTTCACCCACCAAGAATTATACACACAGACAGGCAGGAGAGTTTTTCTCTGGGGATGGATGGATGGAGGGGCAAGGGCCTGCCTGGGCTCTTGCTAGAACTTCCCACCTAAACCCCAGGAGGGCCAGACTGGTCCTGATTCACACCAGCAGCAATTCCCACTCCACAGTTTTCTCCTTTCTGTCCCCCAGCATCACCGTTCTCTTTCTTACTGTTTTAAGTGACCTCCCTCCCTTCTGTGGGAGGGAGGTCACTCTCTCCCATGACCTGCCTTCCTTTCTCTGCCTTACAGATGCCAGCACATATGCCCATTACCTCTTCCATGCCTTCGACACCACCCAGACAGGCTCCGTGAAGTTCGAGGTATGCTTGTCCCAGGAGTCCCCGGGTCCCCATCACCTCTTCCTCTAAATTGTGGGGTGTTGGGGGAAGGGTTGGATCATCAAATGCTTCTGTCAAGACAAAGAAACCTTTATCCATTTAACAAGCATTTCCTGAAGACAGAGAGAAGAAGAAGCAAATGCTCCTGCCCTCCAGGAACTCAGGGCCTCAAGGGACTAACGACAAGTTTAACAGCTCACATGCACACCGAGCTTACCTTGTGGCAGGCGCTGTACTTAGTGCTTTGCATATATTAACTCATTTAATCCTCACAATAACCCTACAAGGTAGTGTTCTATTATTTATTACCAGTTTACAGAAGAGGAAAGTAAGACAAAGAGAGATTGGGTGGTTTTCCCAAGGTGAAAAGGAGGGATTTGAACCCAGGTAGTATGTTTCCACAGTCCACGTACTTAGCCACTAGATTACCGCCACTGGTATGATAACTGCAGCCATGGGATAAGGCAATACCAGAGGAGGCTGTGTTTGCCTGTGTCTGGAGGTGTCGGCACACACAGAGCTCGATTCTTCTTCAAGGGGGCTCCTTCCCAAAAATGGGGCAGGGTACAGAATGGAAAGGGGGACGCTCTTCAGTGAGCTTGATCGTATCCTTCAGGGGACTGAGGACATGGGCAATACCATTCTATAAAAGCAGTCATAGAGTCTGACCCAACGTTAGAGCTTCACCCTCCCCGATGGCTTGGTGGTTAATGTAGCTCATGCCTCTTCCACTTCTCAGGACTTTGTAACCGCTCTGTCGATTTTATTGAGAGGAACTGTTCATGAGAAACTAAGGTGGACATTTAATTTGTATGACATCAATAAAGATGGATACATAAACAAAGAGGTAAGTGAGCTGAGGCCAGGGGCACGAGAGAGCTACAATGAAGGCATTTGATTAAACAGAAAACAGCCCCAGTCATAACGATGAAATTGTCTGAATGAGGAGAGTTCTGTTTTGGGGCTAACAGAGCTAGTTTCCGGCAAAATGAAGAAGGTCATGGCCTTTGACTTCCCCCATTGCCCTACCCTGCCCTGTTCCCAGGCATTCAAGAAAGGATTAAGCAGCTTCATTCATTCTCACTGGGTCACATGTATTCAGTGCACATCTCGAAGGAGGTGTAAATGATTTATTTTAGTGTAGAGTTACTCTTCCCAGGGGAACTTGCACTTGAACAGGTTAACAGCCATGAGTTAAAGCTAAAAGTTGAGGGGCCAGCCTGGTGGCGTAGTGGTTAAGTTCAGGCACTCCATTTCGACGGCCTGGGGTTCACAGATTGGGATCCCAGGCGCAGACCTAGGCATCGCTCATCAAGCCATGCTGTGGAGGCATCCTACATAGAAAACAGAGGAAGAGTGGCAACAATGTTAGCCCAGAGCCAATCTTCCTCACCAAAGGAAAAAAAAATTTCCTGGAGAGGGACTTTACTGCTCCAAGGCAAACAAAAAAAAAAAAGCTAAAAGTTGGAATGGTAGACTTGCAGGCATCTCCTAGAAGAGAAGAGGGAGATCTTTGAGGAGGAGGAGACCACCATTGGATCATATTGGCCACACCTATTTTGCCTAGAAATAAAAGCACAGAAGAGGGTGATGGAAGTGCAGCCATCCCTAAAGAAATCATCAGAAATAATTTCTGAATCTTCACTGCTTGACACTTGCAGAGCCTCAGAGTACATGTGGTGTCTAGTAAGGAGAGGCCCACAGGTTACCTCAAAGCTCACTTTGGTATCCCCTGTCTCCTGGCATCTCAGTGGAAGCTTGCATTTACCATCCTGAACATCTACTTCCTGAGCTCCTACATGCCAGGCACAGTGCCTGGATTACAAATATCATCTCCAATCCTCACCTCAACCCCACAAGGGTCTCCCAGCTTTCATTCCTCATTCATTCAGTCATGTATTTGCTCAACACATATTTGAGGGCTCGTTAGGCGTTCTCGGTACTGAAGATAAAGTGGTGAACAAACCCAAAAGTGTGAAAACCCTAACATCCACTAGTATCGGATTTGTTAAATGAATTCCAGTAAATACATATAATGGAATAACAGCTGGTCATTTATAATCATGCAGGAGTAATAAGATATAAAAATTAGTATGATACATTATATTTTTAAAATCACTTTAGAAAGTAGTATATATAATATTATCTCAATTTTGTAAATAATTAAATGCTTCTATACATACTCAAATATATGATATTCCAAAATATTCACACACCACTTCACAAAATATATAAAGAAATATATAAAATGGGACTTATAACACTGGTTTTCAACCTTGGCTCAACTGTTATTTCATCACTAAATCATCTCACTAACTCCAGTTCCCTTTTTCTTATTTGAAACCAGACAAAATTGTCCGCATTAATACCCATCAGACCTCTCTGGATGGCAGTTTAAAAGAAAAGAAAAGTGAGGATAAACAGCTTCCTAGAAAATATAGCTGGATCTTCCCCTGACAGTCATTTGGAGATAATCTCATCAAAATTGTAGGCACTGAAAATCCTGAGATGGCAATCAAAATTGGTCTTTAAGTCCTTGCTCCAATAAAAGATACTCAGGAAGGAAACCTACAGCTTATGGATGCAAAGGACTTGTAAAGCACACATTTTAAAATAAACACATAGATAAAGACATATATTTCCTAGTTCTGTCCATTGACAGGGCCTGTAGCAATGAGCACACCTGGCACCCAGACCTTGGTTTCTAAATACCATTCTCCAACAAAAGGAGCCAGTCTCCTTGGAGAACTGGTTAATTCCAGGACTGGGAAAGAGAGAATACAAGATGAGCCTGGAGCGTCTTGCACTGCTGGAAAGTAGGAAAGTGCTTAAAAAGAAAAAAAAAAAAGGTATAGGCATCTCAAAAAACTATGGGCGTCAACCTGAAGGACTTCCCAATAGCCAAAGCTAGAACAATTTGAGCAGCAAAATAAAAAATGATAGTATTGGATTATAACCTATAAAATAAATATCCATGAGTCCATAGTAAATAATACATCTACTCAAATAATATAGTATGTATTCAAATAAATAATAATACATATTCAAATAAATAATTGAATACATACATAAATGGGGAGTGGGGAACAACTCTTCCTTAAAGAAGAATTCCAATTAATAAATATAGGAAGAATAAAGGAAATATAAAATCATCATTAGGCAAACACCACAGTCATAATTTTTGCAGGCAGTATCCACTGACAGATACTAAAATCGGTGGAGACACTTGACAGGCACCACCTTTATCAAGTGATCAAGGTTAACATCGCCAGTAATGAGATATATCAACACCATGTACCTCTTTGATATGATGCACTAAGAAGGATATAACATCACCTCTATGGTATTCTTGTCAAAAATGCATAACTTCAATCTAATCATAAGAAAACCAGGGGCTACCCCAAACTGAGAGACATTCTTCAAAATAACTGACCAGTACTCATACCAAAAGTGTCATGATCTTGAAAGACAAAGAAAGAATGAGAAACTGTCACAGATTAGAGGAGACTAAGGAGACAAAGAACTAAATGCAATGTGGGAACACATTGAACAGGCAACACATTCAATTGCATTGAACAGAAAAAAGACATTAGGGAAAAAACTGATGAAATTCAAATAAGCTCTTAGTTTATTTAGTTAATAGTATTATAGCATTATTAATTTCCTGCTTTTGATCATTGTGCTAAGTTGTTAACATCAGGGGAAGCTGGGTCAAAGGTATATGTGAACGCTCTGTACTATTTTTGCAACTTCTGTTCAGTCTAAAAATATTAACAATAGGTTAAAAACAAAACAAAAAATAAATAAAATAAGCCCATGGAATGAGGAGTAGCAGGCACAGAACCCAGGACAGAGGCTGGGTCTCTGTAGACACTACTGCAAACACCCCTAAGAGAAGGTTGTCTTCCTACACTCCTTCCCCCCATTCTGAGGAGGGAGGGGCCAGGTAAGCCATGGAACTCCATGCCTGGCCAGTGCGATCAGGAGAACACCACAGAAGCACTCAACTGTTACTGGGCTCCTAGCCAGGTGCAGAGACCTTAGCACCGAAGGACGCAGCATGTGCCCTCACAGAGCTCACAGTCTCAGGGAAACAGAGCTATAAACTAATATTAGGAACAACTTAATTATTTTAACAAGCACAGGTTTTCCCTGCTATCCAGGAGTCCCCTTTTATGAAAGACCCATATTAGTACCTGTTTTCGCTAACCGAAAGAAATATGAGGAGGATTTTAACTTTTATGGAAAAAAACAAAAAGTGAAAATAGCGTTCAGCCTGCATTTTGCAGTAAGCCATTATAGAGGCAGCCTACACCCCAAGCAGGGAGAGTGGCGCCGCCAAGCTCCTTCCTCCAAAACTACACTCAGCATCTCATCGTCAAGCCGCCACGGCTTTGAACTGTGTCTGTGAAAAAGACAAAGCATCTGTGCTTTATCTCGATTTATTTTGGTACATTATTTTTGGGGTCAGGGAACGCTCAAAAATTTTTCCCATATAAATTAATGGTAATTTCTTCTTCACTTTATGCCATTTTGGCTTTTGTAAGGAACCGTCCACTTTCGGATAGCAGGGGAAGCCTGTATTTACTGATCACTTACTCTATATCAGGAAGTATCGAAAGATTGGAAAGAAATATGATAGGATTTGTAACATCTATCAGCCTCCAGCAACCGAGAACAGTAGTTATTGGCTTCAGAAAAAGGGATCTTTTAGTTACAAAGACTAGAAAATCATCAACATAAACTAGCTTAAGTTAAGAGAGACTTTTGTAAAGATATAGAGTCTGATGAAACACATTTAATCCCCACTGAAACTAGAAAGCTGTTAGCCTCTCTCTCTCTGTGTCTCCTCTTCTTTCCCCTCTCTTTCCTCCCCCTCCTCCAGCATCTTCCAAGATCAAGATGGATCCATTCTCCTCTGCAAGAATGACAGGTTCAAGATGCCTCCAACATAGGGGTGGGGGAGGCCCAAGAGGAGGTTTTAGTGTATAGGGTAACCATTCTCAGACACTGCCTCTCCATGGTTTCTCTTGGTCTCTGTTACTGTCTGGTTCTTCTTCAGTTGCTTTTCTCCGAGAGCCTGTGTCCGTGTGGGTGTGTGTGCACATGCACATGCTCCTGCGAACGTTTCTCTGTTTCTCCCCCATCCCCACCTTCCTCCTCCTCCCTCTACTCTTCTATTCTCCTCTCTTCTCTTTTCTCCCGCTTTCTCCCAGCATTTCTCTCATCAGCTCTACTCCCTGTGCATCTGCTCCATGATAACTCCTTACAGAAGTTCTACTCTTTTGCAGGAGTTTTGGGTTTCTGCTCTCCCTTAACCTCAGCTAAAACCTGGCAGCAGCTCGCCCATGGCGCTGACTCTGGCCCCAACTCCACGGGACTTTCCAGCTCTGGGGTTCTACCACTTCTGCCTACATTTCTGTGCCTCTTCATTCAAACCTCTCAAGAGAGAAAAACTGAGTAGCTCAGCTTTAGTCAGATATCCACCTTTGTTCCAATCAGCTGTGACCACAGAGATAGGTCACCTGGTACAAACACAGCCACCCAGGCCCAACCACTCAAAGGAATTATGGAGTGGGGAGAAGATCTTCCAAAAATGGGGTGGAGGCTGATCAGTGCACAAACATGTCCACCCTGATCCCACACATAACCCTCGTGGACAATGCTCAAGAAGAGGTAACCTACCCAAGAGCTTCTGAAGGCAAAAAAAACTTTCTACTGTCCTCTCTGTAGGAGGAAGCTCCCAGAATATAGCCCCTTCAGCTTGCTTTCTAACTCCCTCTCATCAGCTGAAGAAGGTCCTTTTAATCACTTTTATTTGCAAGGGGGACAAAAAGCCCCAAACTCCGTCACCTAAGAAGAGCTTGACCTCACGGTTCCCACACTTTGTGCTTCCATGTCCCCTCCCCAGGAGATGATGGACATTGTCAAAGCCATCTATGACATGATGGGGAAATACACATATCCTGTGCTCAAAGAAGATACTCCAAGGCAGCACGTGGACGTCTTCTTCCAAGTAAGCGGACACACCCTGTGCATGAGCTTTGAGCCCAACTTAGATGAGTCAGTGCACAAGCATCTGAGCCTCGGTTTGTGTCCGACCCGACACTAAGCATTGCAGGAAACAGAAAAGAATTATGAGGTGTATTGTCCTCCAAGAACAGATGATCTCGTTAAGCAGACAAGCATACACTACAGAAGAGAACAGGGAAGCATATTATTAAGTATAAATGGAATAGTATGGACTCTAGATTCCGTAAAAATTCTTGGGGGATCAGAGTAAACAGAGAAGACATGCTTAAGCACATTTGTGTAGGTGTTGAGCATTTATATCTGGGGAATAAGGGGAAAGGAGGTTGGAAACTAAGGTGAGGGGACTGTGAGATCTTTACACTGAAGAGTTGGGCCTTGCTCCGGTAAAGGGTGGGTGGCTACTGTTCATCTATGAGTAGAAGAGTGGCATGGTCATAGTGGTGTTTTAGTAAAAAGTTAACGGAGTAGTAGAGTCTCAAACAACGTCAGAGCTCATTCTAGTCCAGTCCTCTCGCTCTGCAGATGGGAAAAGCAGAGGCTCAGAGAGGCTTAAAGACTCACTCAAGGTCACACAGTAAGTGACAGAGACAGAACGAGAACCCTCACGTCCAGTGTTGTCTCTGCCAGAGGGACAGGCTAGAGGAGAGTCTGGGGAAGACGTAGGCTGTCAGCGGAACAACCCAGGGATGAGGTGATGAAAGTCTGTAGCACATCTTTTAGTTCTAAGGAAGCTCATGGGGGTCAAGGTGCTGTAACCAGGGCCTGGGTGAGGTGTCTGGCCAGTGAAAGACCACCCTAATTCTCAGGACAAAGCTGGTTGACAAAAAGTAAGTTTTGGAATACAGATTACCAGGTTCTTTCAAGTGCTTCCTGTTGTGTCTTTCAGAAAATGGACAAAAATAAAGACGGCATTGTGACTTTAGACGAATTTCTCGAATCCTGTCAGGAGGTAAGGAGAGATCTCAGGGCAAAAACCTCTAAATCTGGGAAAGGCAATCTGGGGCTTGGGGACCTGAAGGAAAAGAATGAGAAACCTGAGACCCCCTCAGGTCAGAGCCGTCACCGCCAACACCACCAGCACAACTCAGAAGTGCAACCATCTCCACTCCCCGGACTGGCCTGTGGTTGGTCTTGGCTAAGGACTGAGTGGGGTGTAGGGGATGGGAAAGCCCAGAGGGGGTCTCTGTGAAACCACAGACTTCTCAACTGGGCAACACCATCATGTTCAACCTGCCTCTGGCTCGTTGACCCTCTACCCAGATTACAAGAGAATAGCCGGGGGAAAAATGCAAAGCTGTGATTCTCAAACCATAGTGTGCACAAGAATTGCCTGGGATGATTCTGAAAATGTACGTTTCCGGGCCTCAGTCCCAGAAATCTGGGATGGGGGTCTTGAAATCCTCATTTTGACACAAATGCCCTGAACCACTCACTGCTTCTAAGACTTTAAAGGGCAAAACAAGCTGCTTGAAGATCTGGTTGCAGATTCTAGTTCAACAGGCCTGGGGTGGGGCCTGAGCTGCTGCCGTCTAACACTCTCCCAGGTGATGCTGGTGCTGCCTGTCCGTGACCACACCTTCGTTACTCCAGCGTCTCTGCCAGAGACTGAGCTGGAAATAGTTGCTTTCATCTATTTTAGAAAAATGCATTTATATCCCCACCTTATTTCAGAAGGGTTCACAGCTACTCTGAGCTCCACCCGGTAAGAAAGCTGGGGAGACGTGATTGACACATACTGAGCACCTAGACGTTTCAGGTACAGTGCGGAAACCTCACAGCAACCCGAGAGCACAGCGTATATCCAGGGTGATCATCAGAATATTTAATAACTAGAATGGACTGAGAATTGACCACTGACCTTGACCAATGCCCTGGAGCAGTGCCCTAAAGGACCCCTGCTAAGCTTGCCAACCGGTTAGTTGATGGATCTTTGGGTGGCCCATGGGTCCTGGGCCAGTTACCAGGTAGCCAGAGGGGAAGATGCTGGGCAGGAGGCTCAGGTCACAGCTACTTATCAACAGGGTTAGAGATATTTAGACATTTTAATCACTGTGAACTGGCTGAACAGCAGTATTGATCATACCCATTTTAAAGAAGAGAAAACTGAGGCACTGCACGGTTAAGAGACGTGGCTAAGGCACAGTAAGAGACACAGATGGAACTTGAACTCCATCACTATAATTTCAAATTCCATGCCCTACTGCAGTGTGCTTTTTTGACTTTGTTTAACAAGTAAGTGAAGATTTTAAATTAGTTTAGTTTCTCACATTAGCAATCTCTATAGCTATTCATTAATTATGTCATTTCTTTTTCACAAACCATACATAGGCAGATACTGTGATCAATCCCATTTTACACATAAAGAAACAGAAGCACAGAGAGATTAAATAACTGGCCAGCTAGTTAGTGATAGAGCCAGGATTTGAATGTAGGCAGCCTGACTCCAGAACCCATATACTTACCTTAAAAGTTCGAATAACTTTTAAAAGATTTCAAATATCCAGAATCAACTTTTGTCTTTGCTGATTGTAGGTCTTTCCTATTGTAGGTCTGCTTTCTAGTTCATTCATTTGTACTCTAAATTATTTCCTTCCTTCTGCTTTTTTATTTTAATTCAATTTTCTAGATTCTCTTTCTAGCTTTTTTTTTTTTGTGAGGAAGATCAGCCCTGTGCTAACATCTGCCAATCCTCCTCTTTTTGCTGAGGAAGACTGGCCCTGGGCTAACATCCGTGCCCATCTTCCTCCACTTTATATGGGACGCTGCCACAGCATGGCTTGCCAAGCAGTGCGTTGGTGTGCACCCGGGATCCGAACCAGCCAACCCCAGGCCGCCACAGTGGAGCACGCACACTTAACCGCTTGTGCCACCAGGCCGGCCCCTCTTTCTAGCTTTTTGAGATGGAGGTTTAGAACACTGATTTTTAACCATTCTTTTCTAATATATGCATTTCAAAAGATAAATTTCCCTCTAAGTACTATTTTAGAGCCCACAAATTTGATATGTGATATTTTCATTATATTTTAATTAAAAATATTTTCTTCTCTGACCCATGGATTTAGAAGTATGTTGTTTAATATCCAAATATTTGAGGACTTCAATACTTATTCCTTAAAGATTATACAATTAAAAAATGTAAAATAGAGAACATACAATAAGAAAATCAATAAAGCCAAAAGTTGCCTCTTTGAAAAAACTAATCAAGTTGATAAATGCTAAGCAAGACTGATTTAAACAAAAGAGAGAGAAAACTTAAATTATCAATATCAGGAATGAAAAGGGTAACATCACTACAGGTTTTACAGACATTAAAAGGATAATAGTTGATTATCCAATAAATTTGACAACATACAAAATCTACAAATTCACTGCAAAATACAATTTATCAAAACTAACACAAAAAGAAATAGAAAATCTGAATAGTCTTATGTCTGTTAAAGAAATTGAATCTGTAATTTAAAACTTTCCCACAGAGAAAATGGCAGCCACAGATGTCTTCACTGGTAAATTCTTCCAAACATTTAAGAAAGAAATGATGCTAATCTTATACAAACTCAGAGAACAAAGAAAGAGGGAAAACTTCTCAGCTTGATTGATGAGGCTATCATCACCCTAATACGGAAGCTTGACAAGGCATTACAAGATAAAAAAATTCTCAGGCTAATATATTCCTCCTGGACATCGATGCAAAAAATCAAATCCAGCAATAGGAAAAAGCATAATACATCACGAATAGATAGGGTTTATTACAAGAATCCTAGATTAGCTTAACCTTCAAGAATTAATCAATGTGATTAATGACATAATAGAATAAAAAAGAAAAAGCATGTGATCTTTTCAGTAGATGTAGAAAAATCATTTCATAAAATGCAGTACTCACTGTTTTACTGGATAATTTGTTTCTTCTGAATTTGTCTCTAAGGGCAGAGAAGGTGCTTCTTGCCTTGAGTTGCTCACTTTTCAGGTCCCCACCCCTTACTCCTTGTTTCTCATACCCTTGCAGGGTTCTCTCTGCGTAGGAAACCCACGCTGGAGGTTAGCTCACCAGTTACAGAGCTTCTCAGGGAGGAGCCTGGGAGAGTTCTAACCATCCTCTCTTTTCTCTCCTCCCTTCCCAGGATGACAACATCATGAGGTCCCTCCAGCTGTTCCAAAATGTCATGTAACTGTGGACATAGCCACCCGGCTCTCAGAGACATTGTACTAAACAACCACCTTAACACCTTGATCTGCCCTTGTTCTGATTTTACACACCGACTCTTGGGACAGAAACGCCTTTTACACTTTGGAAGAATTCTCTGCTGAAGACTTTCTATGGAACCCAGCATCACGTGGCTCAGTCTCTGATGGCCAGCTCTTCCTCCTCCCTCTTCTTGAGAGAGACAAGATGAAATTGGGTTTGTTTTGGAAGCATGCTCATCTCTTCACACTGCTGCCCTATGGAAGGTCCCTCTGCTCGAGCTTAAACAGTAGTGCACACTTTTCTGCTTGCGTGCCCCAGCCCACTGCCTCCAAGTCCAGCAGACCTTGATGTATCTGGAAGCAAGATGACCTGAGCCAAATGCACACCACTCTCTGATGGCCTCCCAAACCAATGTGCCTGTTGCCCTTCCTTTGGCGGGAAGAATGAGCATTATACAGAACGATAAGAATCTACCATGACTAGGTTGGGAGAGTCAGCAGCTAACATATGTGAGACAGGACTGAATTGTTAAGCATGGCATTGTCTGATGATCCAGACTGCCCACGTCCTTTGTTTCCAGAGGCAAGGACCAACAATGCTCTCTCACACTAGCATCTGTGCTGGTAGTCCAAGTCCCTTAACATGCCCAGGAAAGGAGCCAAGGCCCAGGGGCCCACGCCTCCTCTCCATCTCCTGCTAGAGCTCAGCGCTGCATGTCCCTCCCAGAAAGCCCAGAATGCCTGCAAATTGCTGTAATTTTATACCATGTTCTAATCAATAAACAGAACTATTTCTTACACTCTTAATCTTCATTTCTTCCATGACCCCATTGGGCAGGAGAGGTAAATTGTGAAAAGGGGAGGCTAGTCCATTCGTTTGGCACTCAGTCATTAGTACCGACTTGGTACCAGGCCCTGTACCAGGCAGGGCATCGTCCTCACCTGCCCCTAAGCAAACATCCAATTCAAATGCAAATACTGTGACCTTATGAAATGCAGCTTAATGAGAGCTTAACTGCAGCTCTCAACACCACTCTTCCAACAAGACCCCCACTCCCAAGACGCTCTGCGGTAGAAAGTCTGGAGCCTCATGTGGTATGATGGGGATACAGAGATGAAGAGGTGGTCGGGACCTCCTGCTGAGGGCCTTGGAGTCCAGGGGTTGATCAAGTGGCTTCAGCCTATAAGCAGCAAATGATTACTTATGTCGGACACTATGGGTCTTGGTTTCCCCATTTGACATCACATTAGAAAGATGAAGAGCTAACAGTGGTATCTGTGGAAGGAAAGCACGTTACTAAACCCTTCTTATGTGCCAGGCGTTGCCCTAGGGGCTTTATATACAATATCTTATTTCATGCTCACGGTAGAGCATTCTGGGAGGTGGATTCCTGGTTTTGCTGGTGAGGACACTGGAGTTCAGGGAGGTAAGAGCACCTGCCTAAGGTAGCACAGCTACACAGAGAGAGTTAACTCCTCCCACTCCATCCTAAAGGCTTCCTACTAGGAAGGCCCCACCCCAAGGAACTGAGGGACCTCACACATATCTCATTCCTCTGCAGTCAGTTCAGAGAGGCACAGGGATTCTTTGAATCCAAATAGCAGATGAGGACACAAACGTAGAGAAGGGGAAAGCCTCCTGGATCACTAGCAAGAACAGGCCACCACAGCTCAGGCAGGCGTGAAATACTCCAGATCTGATCACCATTGGCTGTGCCTGTCATGGTTGGAAATTGTAGGGGCCACACTTCTGTTTCCCTGTCTGGGCTTCCCGAGTGCAGCCATGTGGCCATCTAAGGGCGCTGGACATGTGGCTGGCCCCCAGCAAGGCATACATTTAGGCCCACGCAGAGGCTCTATACTTGTGACCCTTCCCACGTGGGGTCTGAACCTGCATCCTGAGGCTGTACAAGGTCCAGGCCGTGGTTCGCCACCCTGGCTGCACGTCACAATCACCTGGAGAACCTTGAAAAATGCGATGTCCGTGCCCCACCCCAGACCAATTGAAGCAGAATCTCTGAGGGTGGAGCCCGGGCATCAGATTCTTTAGAAGCTGCCCAGATGATTGTAGTATATACCGTAAGCTAAGATGGGGAACTGACCACATCAGTGCTAAGAATGGAGCACATGATCTGAGCCATGCCCCTGGCCACAATGATTAATTCAGAGCTGGGCTTGATTCCTAAGCCAATCCACACAGCATGAATCTCAAGACTTGTGCTGGGGGCCAGTCTCGTGGCGTAGTGTTAAGCACGCGCACTCCTCTGCTGGCGGCCCAGGTTCAGATCCGGGGCGGGCACCGATGCACTGCTTGTCAGGCCGTGCTGTGGCGGCATCCCATATAAAGTGGAGGAAGATAGGCACAGATGTTAGCTCAGGGTCAGTCTTCCTCAGCAAAAGGAGGAGGATTGGCAGATGTTAGCTCAGGGCTGATCTTCCTCACAAAAAAAAAAATAAAAAAGACTTGTGCTAGGAACACTGGGACAAAATGTTTTCTCTCCTACTGGACATGAATGAGACAGCATGTAGTCCTAAGACATGTTGGTAGCCATTTAGGAATGCTGAGGGGTCCTCTGATAACCAAAGGGCAGATAAACCAGAATCACAGATGGCAAGGAAGAGAGATTGTTTTTAAAAATAAAAAAATAAACCAGAAATTGGGCTCTTGATGAGATCATTGAGCTGCTAGATCAAGCCACATCTGAAGCTATACATACCTCTGACCTTTTCAGATGCCTTTGTTAAATGCCCTTATAAGGTTTAGGACAGTGTTTCTCCGCACTGGCTGCATATCAGAATCACTGAGGAGCAGCATTTGGGGAAATTTTTTAAAGTGCTAAATGCCTGGGCCTTATCCCAGGTTCTGAATCAGAATCTCTAGAGTGGGGCCATGTGCATCAGTCGGCTTTAAAAGCTCTCCAAGTGATTTCCAGTGTACATCTAGGGCAGAGAGGCCCTGTTCTAGAAGAGTGGAAGGGCTGGCACCCGTCTCCCTCTGCTGGCCAGACCACAAGTAAGAAACCCAATTCAGTCCTGAGTGCCCCATATGGAGGGGAAAATCAGCATCTGGTGATATTCAGAGAGAAGACAGGATGGAAGGAAGATTCAGAATGGGTCCTAAGATGAATGATCAACGGAAAGAGAGTTGGTTGTCCCGTGGGGTGTGGGAAAAGGGCAACCTGTCGCAGCAATTGCCAGGGTCCGGGCCTCCGTTCATCAAAGCTTTTAAGAAGGAGAAGGAAAAAATGAAAGTTGCCGTTTCCACAGCAGCAGAGAAACAGAGAGGCCTGTGCCTGTGTGACTCCACGTGCCTCTCAGCACAGGGGGCGCTGGGGAAACGAGGCTCTCCACTTGGAACACCCACCTCCAACTCGTCCTCCTAGAGGATCCCGCTCCTCCTGAATCACCCACAAATGTCATCATTTGCCAGCCATTTGCTGACGGCCAGTCAGCCACGTAGCGGACGCCGCGGCTGCCTCATGCAGACACCCTCTGCACTCACCGTTACCGTGCGGGTGGACTCGACTGTGCCAGCTGCAAATGCCTGCGGCCTTCTGTCTGTGACTCTGGCTGTCACAGAGTCTGACAAGGACAGCCCCACGCTGCCTGTGGGCAGGGCAGGCGGGAAGAATCGGTTACTTAACACCTGCCTGGAGTGGCCCTTAGCCGATGACTAACGCGAGCTGGTGGATAAATACCCCAGACCCCTCTCCTCTTGGTGGGAAGAGCTCTGGGGCATCTTCTATTCTGTCTCCAGACTTCCCCAGTAGGACTGAGCCCCAACCGCCCACAGCAGCAGCCTGCTCAAAAGGGCACCCTTTGACCTCCTTCCCTTCCCTGTGCCTTTCCTGCACTCCCCCATGATTGCTTCCCCGGACCACCTCCCAGGTAAGCTACCGGACCCCACACCCTTGTCACAGGGCTGGCCCCTGGAGGAACCTAACCTAAAACAGACATTGAATAGGACAGATATGTGTCCTGCTCTCAGGAATCCTACATTCTAGTGGGAGGAAACAGACAGCAAATAAAATGAATTGAGATAGCTAAGTGGCATGAAGAGGATGAAAGTGTGACGTGATAGAGAGGGAAGGGTGACTGGGGAGGCTCCTCTGAGCTGAGCCTGATGTGATCCTAGGGGTGGGGGGTCACCAGGCATTTACAGAAGATCTGGGCCCAGGCCTGCTGTCGCGTCTTGGTCAGATATCTGAGATTCTCTCTTGTTCAATAAGGAAAGCGTATCCGGGATAGAAATGGAGAAGTCCACCGTGACCAATGCTGTGGTTCTCTAATAGCACATCGCTGAATCAGCCCTCTGCACAGAGGCCGGCAAGGCCCACTAGAGAGGCTCCCAGGAGGAAGGTCGGCCTGGGCTCCCTGCCGGGTGCCAGCTTCTCCGTGGATGACATCCTATTTGAATCTCACAACAATTCTGGGAGGTAGGTGTCCAAGACACCTGTTTTCAGATGAAAAAAGGATGCCCAGAGACATGGAGGGAACTCCCCACCCAGCGCAAAATGGGCTTAAAGCCCGCCAAGCTCCGAAGTCCATGCCCAGCTCTGTTTCTTAGAGAGCATGAAGACCAGTCTCCACCTATTCCTAAAACTAGCTCTGATGATATACAAACACCAGAAGGTGGTGGAAAACAGCTGCCAAGAAAACTATTAGTAAAATGCAATGAAAACAAGTCCATGAATTCAAGCCAAATTACTCTTCCTCCAAAGGGAATAATGCCAAGGACATGTGCAAAGATGTCCATATGGTTTCTTAGAGGAGCTGAAATAAGCATGTCCCTCCACATCAAAATAAGGCCAATCTAACTGGCAGACCTCGACAAGCCCTGCACCCCCGTCCAGTGACTGACCGAGGATCAAAAAACCGAGATGTTGAAGAGCAGGGGAAAACCCTATGGGTAGCCAGCCCCACTAAGTGGGCTCTGAAGACTCATGAGATTCTGGGGAGCTAACTGCACTCACAGTTCTAGAAATGCAGCACATGACCTAGTCTAGGCTAATCGTTACCCCCCATGCCCCTGGCCACAGCGATGGATTAGGGGTAGGCTTAACACCTAAGCCAACACAACCAGCATGAATTTTAGGGCTTTTACTGGAGACAGTGAAACAAAGTTGTTCATTTTCCTGCTGGACATCAATGAAAAAGCACATAGCCCTGGGACATGCAGGCAATCATTTTGTAGCCTGCGAGGAAGCCAACCTATAAATGAACATAATATCACAGAAGACAAGGAAGAGAGACGAAAACATATGGACTCCTGATGATTTCCTTGAACTGCTGGATCAAGCTTTACCTGAAGCTACATATACCTCTAGTGGTTTTGGTTGCATTTATCAATAAGTTAATTTTTTATTATTTAAGACAGTTCAAATTGAACTTTCTGTAACTTGCAACTTGACACATGCTAACTGACCCCACCCCCCACTCGTTCATATGACAGATGGGACAACTCAAGCCCACAACTACACAGCTGGGTGGAGCAGAGCTTGGACCAGAAATCCAGTCTAATGTCATATCCACTACACTACTCTGCCATCTACTTTGCAACCATAATATAATAATAATATTAAATATCATTTGCTGAGCACATATTGCATGCTAACTAGTTCACATGTATTCAATCCTCACTACCCTGAGGTTGGTTCTGTTATTAATCCTATTTACTACTGAGGAAGCTGGGGCTCAGAGAGGTGAAGAAATTTGACTGCAATCAAATAGCTAATAAGCATGAGAGCGATTTGAACCTAGGACTTTCTGACTGCTGCACTGAATCTCCAAGCCAGGTTCAAGGC